ACCATCCATCATCCACCATCCACCATCCACCATCCATCTTCTGGTTTTGTTCCAACACCTTTGGTGTCTTCACCATTAGAGACTGGCTATCAATCTAGTCTTCTCTTAGTATCTCTTACCAATTCTGCGTCAAATAAGTCTACGAGATGCCGCTCTGGTATCATCCTCCACCTGTCCTTGTTGAGGAGGGAGGGCCTTCTGTGTAAGTTATCCATCCTCATCCCATTTTCTGGATTTAACTAATGGAATCTCTATTGATAGTCATGGAGGACCTATCAATCCACCTTTGTACTACCACCCTCCTCCAATCTGTGTTGATCCTTCCGAGGACGCTGTTATCCCATCAAATGGAATCGCTGGGGCTTTGCCCATGCCTCCTCCTGTTCCAGCTTTTCATGGAACATTTCCTCCTCAAGGCTTAGGTATCTTAACCGGGACGTCTTCTGGTGATGGTTCAGCTTTCCCAATAATGCCCGGAATGTATCCTGTGCCTTTTCAGGGGGATATATCCAGCTATACCGGATTTAAACCTGCCGAAGAGTCCAAACCCGGGATGATACCACAACCTGTTCCAAGGGTTGACACCCCAGGCACCCCCAGTGCAAGTCCGCGTCGATTCAGAGAACGGGTCTACTACTACGATGATGAAACCAATGAAGTCCACATTTCCGATCCGGAAACATCTTCCAGGCATCGCACAAATCTTGAACAGTTGAATGCTCCAGCTCAGGCCAATTCACCTCACAGTAGCCAAACCCACCAATATAAAGCATACTACATTGACGAGAATACTGGTAAAAAAATCACCATTTCGCCGAACACACCTCGAGCAAAGCATAGATCTCGTCGCCTTGAACTCACCAGGGAGGGCAGCGGAGAGTTTGAAGTCAAGCTTTGGCATGAGGGAGGTGATCACACCTGCAAGAAGAAAGTTCGAGTTTTCAGCGGACCAGGTGGTGTTGATGATGTTGATATTGACCTCAGCGACTGCCGGATTTGTCAGGGTCAAGAACCTCATGAGCCCTCCACGAGCACCAAGGAGGATGAGCAGCAGAAAAAACGGCTAGAGGAACAGAAATTTAAAGATAAGATCCGTCAGGAGGAGTATGCAAAGATGAAGGCCGATGAAAAACTAAAACTTGAGATTCGCAAGGAATTGCAACTTGAAGATGCACAACGCCAGGAATCAGCAAGATTACAAAAGCTCGAAGCCGAAAAGCGGGCCAATGAGAAGGAAGCCGAGCGCCGGGTAGCTGCAGAGGCCGAGAAGGAGCGCATCCAAAATCTCCTTGAAACCGAATTGAAGAAACGCAATGAGGTTCACCTAGCTGAGCTTGAAGCCGAGAAGGAGCGTCGTCTGCAAATGGAACGTATCCTGAGGGAGGAAGCCAAACAACACCAACTTGCTGTAGAGATGCAAAGGGTGAGAAACGACCAGTTAGTCAAGATCGAGGAAGAGCGAAGAAAGGAGCAAGAAGATAAAGCCAGGGAGGAGGCTAAACGACGAGAGATTCTCATTCAAGCCGAACAGGAAAAGATACGCCGCGAGATTTGCGCTGAGTTTGAAAAGAGGGAACGAATCCGGCTCGCAGAGATTGAGGCGGAAAAGAAGAAAATTGAGGCGGAGGCACAAAAACTCCAAGAGGAAACCAAGAAATTCCAATTATCAATGGAGATTGAAAGGGAAAGACTCGCTAATCTAGCAAAACTTGCGGCCGAAGAGAAGAGAAAAATTGAGGAACAAAAGGAGGCCGCAGAAGTTGCCCGTCAATCTAGGCTCGATCAGGAGCGCCGTCACATGATCGAAGAGATTAATAGAAACAAGTCAGAGCAAGATCGAATTCGAGCGGAGGAGTGGGAGAAGATTCGGGCGGAGGAGATAAAGCGCATGAAAGAAGAAATAAGGAAAGAACTCAGCGAGCAGGAGGTTCGAAGAATCGCAGATGAACAAGTCAAAACTGAAACCCTTAGACTCCATCAGCTCGAATCAGATCGTAACAAGTTAAATGAGCAGATTCGCATTCAGCTGGAAGCTGGTAGGGAGGAGATCAAAAAACAAGTTCGCAACGAACTCGAGAAAGAGGAGGAGATGAGATCCATGCGTCTTCAGGCTGAATACGCCGCTCTGAAGGCAAGAGTGGAGGCCGAAGCCCTCTCCAAAGAGCAAGCTCAGCTACGCTCTCTTGCCGAAGCGCAGGAAAAGAAGAGGATTGAGGCCAAAATTGCTCATGAGGAGGGCATAAAGCGACATCAGCGTGAGCAAGCCGAAGCGGCGATGAGAAAACATGCTCAGGCCCAGGCAATGGCGCTAGAACAGGAGAGACTCAAGAAATTATACGAAGCGGAAGCTACAAAGGTAGCTACTATGGCCGCAGCAGCCGCTGAGGAGAATGAGATGAGAAGAATTATTAGAGCGGAGATTAAGGAGGATATGAGGAAGTCACGTGGGCAGAACGAGGCACAGACAGACGGAGTTTTAGGAATGACGAGCAGGTTGCCGACGCACAGGAACAGGGTGCAGGTGCGTTGGGATACGGAGGATTAAGGACAGAATCTGTCCGGCTACCTAACTAGAAGAGTTTACTTACGGGGTGCACAGTTATAGAAGTTAATCACCATGTTACACCTTATTTTTGGTTTGGAAAATGGGGATTAATTTTTGTTACATTATCACTACGCACACGGAGGTATAACTACTAGATAATAGATAATTGAAATAGATTGCCCTGAACAAACGTCTATCTCCTCTTCTATGAATCTGAGGTTACACGGGTACGTTTCTTGATAGCTAAATCAATTAATAGCAGGTTTTATACTCATGAAATGTCACTCGACTAACCTAACTATCACTGACAAGCGTTTATGTAATATAGTAAAAGCAAGTGTTAACGTGTATTATTAACTTGTTTGTGGGGTGCACCCAGGATGTTTGAAGTGATGCACATTTTGGCCTGATAACGCTTTTAGCACAACGCAACATGCTCCCTAAACTCAAATTTCGAGTGTAGGACGTCTCTGTAATGCCTAAGAATTCATTTGGTGTTTTTTGAATATGAAATAACCACCCCTCAGGCAAGAAGTCACTATTAGGCGGCCAAAGCCAGTAGTAAAAAAACCCAAAAAAGTATCAATGATAGACCTTTTTTATTTATTTTTTTCATTATGAAAGGAATCTGCACACTTAAATTGACCTCAAGATAGACTTGTATGAAGATTAATTCTCTCATGGTTGAGATATCACCAAACATCATTTTCCGACACCCTGTATACATAGATCAACCTTTGTTAGAGAGTAATCTTAGTGTATAATTGCGCACCGTTCTGAACCCGAACCACATATAGCACATAAATCTAGCGCTGCTGTCATCTTGATTACCTGCGCGCTTGTCTCGGGCTATCATTCCATCTCCATTCCCAGTTCTACTTCGGGCCTGTCGATACATTGGCGGCGCATGCCTTTCAACGCACCCGCAAACTCCAAAGGAATTCCCCTCGACACGTGCGATCTAAATCCTTATTTTTCTGCTTCATCCTGGTATGACTGGCCGAAAAAATGGTATGGAACTCGCCATCTAGAGTTTACCTCTAGCCCCTCGTTTTCTGCACAGTTCTTAATTCACCTGCCTTAGCCCGATCCAGATACAAATAGCTGGATCTGTACTTCGCATCTCAACCGCAACCGCTCGTCATAAGTCTCATCTCGTGGCCAGGAAAGGGACAGTGCTGTTTGTTTGGGTGCACTTCTCATGCATATCTGTAGTTAACCCAAATAAATGCGCTGTTTCATAGTCCCGTCTAGTGCAGCTGCAGCTGTGATGGGCCTGAGATGGGATCGATGCTTATTCGTATACATTAGATGCACTATCAATGCCAATGCTGGTAAATCTAATCTATCACAATTCCATGTGCCTCCATCTTTGAAACAACGTGTTGTTTCGTAGCATTTGACCACATGCAGATGCAGGGCACGGAAGGGCATACAGCGAGTGATACCACAAGATGCACATTTACAATCCTCCACCCAACCCCATCCTGATAAAATTTGTTAGGGCGGCGGAGAGAAAGATCATCACCAAAGGGCACTTTGGCCTTTCCTTAACGTACCAGGGGGAAAGAGAAACCAAAACCAAAAACTAGTTAGGCGTATCGCGAAGTAGCCTGCAGGAGCAGTAACCACGCCCGAGGAGTGCACAGCCATCTTGTTGTCCATCTATCTGCCTTGCAACCTGGGACCGGCTGTACAAGAGGATGGAGATGGATGTCAGGATAGCAGCAGCAGCAGGCACTCATTACATGTAGACTTCCATCCATGCTGGCTAGCTAGCTGTCCTTTAGCTTCCTGGCTTCGCGCCTCCTCTTTTGCACTGCATATATCAGATCAGATCAGATCAAGATAATTGATCAAGAGTCCCCACAGCCAGGATTAACACTTCTGGTTCTAATAGCAGCCACGCAATGTGGCATGAAAAGGTACAGCCAGGACAGCGTACTCCTCCCAGCTAGTAGTCTCATGATCCGTGTAGGTACAGTTATCTAGACATTTATTTTAATCATTAAATCGTGCACAACATTCGCCTCCTATAGCCAATGAAACCATCGTGAACTCTATCTCTTCTGTCGTGATATCGTATGAAAGGAAATGTGAAGATAAAAAGAAAAAAATAATAAAAAATGAACAATATGTAAAAAATGAAATGAAAATAAAAAGACGCCATTCCATATAAATTCACTCCAATCCCCTCAAATAGCCTTACCTTCTTTTTTTTTTTTTTTCTTCCTGACCATTTTCAGCATATAACACGTACCAACAAGTGTTCGGGGAAGTCAATAAACAAAATAAAGAAAACAAAACAAAAATCATTTCCCACCCAAAGTCCGCTATGCTGAAATTTATGATCAAAACACAAAAAAAAAGGTAAAGAAAGAAATAGAAAAAAAGCAGAAAACCAAGAAAAAAAACCCAGCGCCTCAAATGTGATTTTTCATGAATAAACCTGACTCTAATCCTCATACTCACCCTCTGCATCTTCGTCGTAATCCTCATTACTAAGATCGATAGTGGATGGTCCATATTGACTACTTCTCCTCCTCTCTTCCCCCTCAATCGAATCTTTCCCATGACATAGAAGCTTATAACCCCCTTCCCCGGTCTTCTCAACAATTCGCTCTTCAAGGGCCCAATGGATGAGGTCCTCGTCCATCACCCATGTCTTAGTATCGATGTCCTTGTAGTTATTCTTCTCGTAATGCTTCCCCACGTGTTCCATTCTTGTATCCCAGCTACCGGGTCCTGAGAATTCCTTGTGACAGTATCCGCATATGCTCCTCTCGGGAGGAGCACGACGTTCCTTGCGGCAGCGGTCCTGAATCTGAGGAATCTCATGTCCGAGCCAATTTTTCATCTCGGATGCGTTCTTAGTGTTGTTGGTGACCTTGGGCCCGTGCATGCGTTTCAGGTGTTGTCCAAATAGGTCTTTTCTATTGAAGTACGCCTTACGATCTGCACAATTGGCATAGTCGCAGCGCCAGTAGTGAAGCTGTAGGTGCTGTGAGAAGACGTGGCGTTTCCACTCATTCTTTGACCCGAATGTTTGCTCGCAGTTTGCAAAGTGGAATGTACAGAGGAAGGGTCTGGTGTGCTTGGTCTGCATGTGTTTACTATATATCATCGTCAGCGGGTGTATCAAATGGGAAAGATACTAAGGTTTAATTACCGAAAGTCAGAGTTGTGCCTAAATATCTTGTTGGGATGCTCTGGGCACTGCTGTCGCTCCTTAGTCTTCTTGCCTGCACCTCTTCCTTTGTGATTCTTTCCATTTGCGTTAGTGGTTGCGTCAGGATGAGGCTTCATCAACTCTGCCCGAGCCTTATTCGAGAGCTGTGGATTTGTAGAACCACTTCTCGATCGACGGCGCTCCCGCCTCGCTTCTAGTACTGCTACCGTAGGTGGAGAAGAGGCCTGAGGCGAGACTTTAGAAGTTGGTGAAGAACAGGACATATCCATTGCATCAGGAAGGTAATACTGATCTATAGTAGCATCCCAGGGGCTAGCACTTCCATGATCATGTTCATGATCACTATGCTCGTGTCCGTTGACATATATTCCTGGTATGCTATTGCTGTGTGGTCTCCGGGTCAAGTCTTCTCTATCATCATTTTCGTCTTCTGCCGGGCTTATCTGTATATTCTTCAAGCTGACAAAGGAAGAATCCTGGCTGAGACGGTGGTCAAGCGGAGAAGAATTGTTGATATCCGTATTGGATTCGACTGAGTAATCAGAGTGCCTTCTCCAGAGATCGTTGGTATTGATCCCTGGCGAAGAAGGTGAAAGACACCCGATACCATCGATAGATGATCTTTGAGAGTGGCCTCCGGAATCCCTGCGTTGATAGCTAGATTGGTCGTCGTAGTTGACTTCTTGAAAGTGTTGTTCATCCGGGGATCCAGTGCTGGCTGTCCTACCAGGGGAAAATGGATATTCATATACAGAGCTGACTGCCGACGAAGTGTAGTCGTCGTAGTGTGATCCCTGCCCCCAGCTTGTCGCGATGGAAAGGTGTGTGTTATGGGGGGTAACGTATCCAGTGGTACTATTGATCCCCACTAAGGGCCTGGAAGAGTTGTTGTCGGTCATGAACCGCGTAATTGGTGTGGTTATATCTGTGGATGTATCCTCAGGGAGCCTTAATTCGGCTAACTTTTGGACTCTCTCCTCAAGTCCTGAAGAGACCGGATGGTTGAAATCCCAAGAACCAAATTTATCCTCACTGATATGAACAGGCTGGTAAGTCCTATTTAGAAGTATTTGACCAGGCTGATAAATATCATGATCGCTTTCAGTTGAGTGGAGTAGGCTTTCCATGGAAGTCTGGCCAAGAGTATCTCCCATTATTGACGGAGGTGCTCCGAACTTAATACTATAGCGCAAGAATGTCAGACATAGGTTCTCTTAAGAGGTCTTTGATATCGAACTTGTCGCCCTACAAGAGAACTTGCGCTTCTTCTGTAGTTGCAGGGTAGAAACCCAGCCCGATGGAATCCGCCTTGGTGCAACAGGAATATGCAGAGCATTGCTCGTGGAGATTGAGGAGAAAGACGAGACGGGCAAAACTTGTTCAGGAAGAAGTCCTGGAACCAACATGACATATTTACAAACCTTTTAAATCTTTTTAGGGTAGTGATATCTTTGTCTATGGTTGATGAATGAACCTAGATGATGGTAGAGGTGTCAGAATTGCCATTGGACGTATGGAAATAACTAGATAAACAAGATGGTGGAAATTGACTAACCGAATTCCCTGAGTCTTGATATATGTGCGTATGATGTTGATACACTGTATACTCCACAAGGATTGTTTCCGAGTAGGTTTATCTTCGAAATATAGAGGCGGTGCGGGAGCTTGTTATGTAAACTAAGCTGAACTTGACAATTCAATAATGTTCTATAAAGGAATAGAACTTAGCTAGGTGCAGAATATAGAGAATATATTTTGGGCTGTGTAGATGGTTGGTCGAGAGGGGGAGACAAGGCAGCTTTGTACCTTCTTTGGCTCAAACCACTTGCATTATGATGCCTTCCTTGATTGACGCGAAGTTGGGCGCGCGCTCTGGTTCGCATAGTTGTCGAACACTGCCCCAAACTAAGCGGGGGGAGGGTGATTCTGAAGAGCCTCAAATTCTTTCCTTACTTTTTTATTGAATGTTACGTCTGTCGCCGTTTCTTAGCTATATTTTTTTCTGCCCACAGTCGCAAGGGTGTGAAGCCGGGAATTGTGGTTGGCTAAGATGCTGCATCGGTGCGCAAAGAGTATTTCGCACCATTCTCTCACATATCTGCAGGTCGGAAACGATGCGCACGAACCAAACTCTCTGGAGAAGAGTATGCAGCATGTACGTATGGTGCATACATACATATTATCAACAGATTGAATATTTTTTCAAAGATGGATGTCTTTCCGTTCATGGCACCGACATATCTGAGCCGTTGGAGATTGGCTCAGCATAGATGTAGCATCAAGCTATGGAAGATCCCCGATATCTGGAGCTTCTCTTGCATCCTGGTAACTGCAGACATGTAGTATCGAAAAGCCAGTCATAGGTCTCCCGTTACGGGCGAAACCTATCCATTCCGGGTGGCTGCTGCGAGTTGTGAACAGGTGAGAGCCGAAGAAGTTTCTCCTTTCGAATAGTGCATAGAGTAGAGAGCACCTTGAGTACTCAGGCTCAGGCACACACCACACAATTCAGGCACACACCACCACCCCTCCAGGCACACACCACTCTGTGACTAGGCAACAGCGGCGCGGCAAGAGGTACGTACTTGAATACATACCCGAGTACATGTCAGTACATGTATGTAAGTAAGTAGGAATCTCACTAACCTATTCAGTCACGTTCTATAGATGAATTACAGTAGTGAACAATGGAGTAGGATAGTAATATTTGGTTAGCTGTTTGTTTCATCTGCGTGGTGTTTCTACATCTTCCTTTTCCCCACTGTAACACATCGGGCCGAAAATCGATAATATCATAGGACGCAGCTAGCACCGCTAGGTGTACCTACATCCTTCTGTAACACGAGGGATCCGGCGGCTACGTCTAAAGCACATGTATGTAGGTACATACTTCTGTACTCTAAACTGTTTACTGTCCGCCATACTTCATCTGCAGAGCCTCATGATCAGCCTTTCGCCAACAGACAGACTCGGCACCCCTGTCTCGGCTTTCTTCGCCCTTGGGCGTCCCGGAATTTCGTGTAACTGTGACACCACAATGTGTACTACATCTGCCAAAGCAATGCCCACTCGTGCGGTAGCACCCACTCTAATATCTATCACTTTTCTCAACTCATCAACAAACTTACAATTTCTTCTACTGTGATTGGCTGTTAGTCCCTTCAATTACAATCTTGGTCGACATGGTCGACTTAATAAGCCTGCTCACGATACCTAGCCCCTCATTACCAAAGTCGGGAATCCTACTGTAAATACCTACGTATCACAGCACTTACAACTGCCGTACCTTACTGGTCCAAAAGGCGATCAAAAGTAGGTGGGAACACCTTGCGCCTCTAGAGCTACAGTATTCTAGAATAGAGCAGCGCAGCGGTAAACTTATGGAATTAGCCTTATCTGCAGACAACTATGTAACCGCAATCCAATTGTCAATATATGTAAATATTGACGGATAGATAACACAGCCGGAACACATACACATTGTTGATCGTTTACCTCTCGAACTCAAAAGCCCCTTCTCGTTGACGGACGGAGGCCGAGAGGCATGTCATGTTGGCAAAAGAGGCTGAGTCGAAGGGGGAGGAGGATGGAGAACGCCCGTCTCGTCTAGGAAAATGCAGTCTCGGGCGCTAGCTCTTCAAGCCTGGGGCTGAACCAATCAGATACTTCTTAGGCCTGGTTCAAATTTTCAAGTCGAGATGAAACAACAGCATAACACACCGGCGAATTCCGGGAAAGCAACAGGAAGACGTTGAATTTACATGAGCTGCTTTAATCTTTAATCTAGCGACTACATACATACATGACTGAATACACAAGCCGGTCCAGTTGACAATCTGTTTCGGAAATTAATTAATTCAATAACTAAGGTATGCATTTGATCAGGTACAGATAGGTACAAGTTCGCATACCGCATACATTCAACATGGAGTCACCCCGGACCCAGTTGAGCCTCGAAGTGGGGAAGTCAAGAGTAATAGTAATAGCTGGCCTGTTCAGGTATGCATCAACCCTCTATTTTACAGAACAACCGCCTCACAGCCATTCTAGAAGCCGCCAATCAGGGTAACCGGCCATGACAGTCGAAAAGACGATTTGATGATTAGTTTTGACATTAGTATTTTGTTTTTGTCGTGCGGGAGGGGGTTAGAATTACATGGTTCTGAATCTGGGGCGGTATTTCCATGTCAGTTGGCTTGGAGTCGGCTCCGACGTGATCTTGAGAAGTTTTTGTGCGCACCTGCAACGGACAACAAACCACTTGTGCGCACCACGAGCTCGGGCCAAACAATTGATATTACGAGGCACACAAACCAGGTTCTGAATCTATAGAGTAAGTTTTGCGTGCATGAGTTCGAATTGAGAACTATGGCACTGTTCAAGATCCGTCGATTGATTGAGGCTCTTTAGGGCGAACCATTTGCACTATGGCCTAGCTGTGGGGAACATGAGATGGGTGCAGAAACATGAATCATTCGGTCGGTTAAAAGCTAGATTAGTCTCACAATGGCTTTCTCAGAATGTTAACATGGATCACAATCTCAAGAGATGTTAAGCATGATCCATCACTCGAGAGGGCTACACTTCCTGACTCAAATAATAAGACCGGCTGGCAACGGATGCGTTTTCTCCCACACTTTTAGGAACATTGTGTTCATGAGATAACATGCGGTCATTCCCGATCTATAATAATTCATAAATTTGAGAGTGGTCCTACCATTCTCTTACTCAATTTTCTCTTGAGGACAGCCCTACTAGCTACATATGATGCAGAGAAGCAGAAAGGGGAGAATTACATATCACGATGATATTGGCGCCTTAGTCTACAAGACCCCACTCGTCTAATGCCGGTCCGCCTTATTTTTGATACCCTGCGCAATTGTATATCTCACATGATTAAAATCTAGCTCTCGATGCAGCAGATCTAATCACTGCATGTGAAGTCGTGTGTGCAGGAAGAGGTGGCATATGTGCAAATTTTTGTTGATTCAAAACTGTGGATGTACGTGTTCTTGAATTGGAATGCACGAGCTAGGGGCGAGAGGAGAGGAACGATCTATCGGATGCACGTCATGATTCTATGGTGTCGTCTACTTTTTTTTTTGTCGTTTACCTCTAATATTTTCGATAGCATTCAAATATCGCACTAGTACTGCATGTGTCTATACGGCGCGCATGTACGTACCTACATGACATTTAGTTAAAACCCCGCCAAATTGCAAAAAAGCGCTTTGATTTGACCACAAACCAATTGATTTTTTTTCAGAGGCAGTTTTCTTGTAAAGGTGCAATTGATCGATGAACCGAATCAGCTTCTAATATTTTCGATTTTTAGCTGTGAGGAGTAGGGATTGGTTCTTATATTACTGGGGTCTAGAAGCTCGAGCGTAACCTAATTTGGAAAAAATCTCCCTTATCAAATCTGTTGTCAAAACGGAACTCACGGGCCTACTAAAGCTTATGTGATGCTTTCATCCCGCTCAATTCTAGGCCCCTGACCCTGGTCCAAGAGTTTTCTGGTTGGCTATGAATAAATTCTATCACGGAATTGAGCATATAGTACACAATTCTTAATATAAAGTAAGAAAATTCTTTTTACGTCGTTATACAACACTAGCAGCTATGAAGAATAGACAAACCAAGAACCTAGTTTTTCAAAAGAAAAAAGGCATGAACAGCAGATCTAGATGGACCTTGCATCCTGCCCATTGCGGTGAGGGAAGATATGAAACAGGGTTAGGGTTACAAATAGCACCCTTATTAAAAATGTGCGCAACATACGGGAAATGTGGGTCCACACGAATTGAAAACATTTTCAAATCCATGATTGTGCGTAGTGTATATTCGCTCTAGATCGGAGTATCTGGTTATTAATGGCATCGACCCTGAGACGCACCTAAGTGCTGTAAGTCATCGATAATTCCCTGTATATATTGTATTGGAGTACTGTAGGGGGCAGCAGCACTTAACCAACTTTTGAAGCTCTCGGAAAGAATCAAAAGTTGTGAAAATCATTGTCAGACACCACATCATCTGGCATGAAACTGATGTAGTATGCTGGACGTAAGTGATCTTTGCATGAGCATCACAGAAAAAAGCCCTCGATCTTAAATAATCAAGATCTTCACATTAGTATACCCGAAGGATTGGAATA